GCCGCCAAAAATCTCGTAATTAATATAAACTGTTTAATTTAACATATTTTTGCATCTTTATCAGTACTGTTGTTATGTTTATACAAGTTTCTATTGACCCATTTTTCATGTTGGTCGTTAACTCTAAAAAAGGTCAACCACTTTAATTTGGTTGTCCCGTTAGTTTAACAGTGACAGTTCATGCTTTCAAATGCCGTTACTGTACATATAAACTGTAAAGTCCTTAGAAGTGATTACTGTGTAATTCACAAATATCTTTACAACTTTCCTTATATCATTACTCTCTTCAAAGAATAAAAAAGTTTTCATAAAGTGTTAGAATATGTGTTGTGTATAAAGTGAGTAATAGACAGACATTGAAAAAAGAAAGTTTATGATATATATACGAGTGTGTGTTTTATAGAGAATGAAAAGGAAAAATAAATTAAAATTATTCTTTAAAAACAAAAAAAATTAAAACCCGGGCCACAAAATAGATATCCAACTCCAGGTCGTAAAGTGGATCGTTATGTATTATACCCTGTTTTTTTTTTGTTTTTTTTTGTGAGGTACTGGCGAAAGTAAGACCTAAGTTATGTTTGGAGTACACACACTATCCAGTTGAACTTTGCCGCCCTCACATGCTTAGAAGAAAAGGAGCCGATGTGGGTGCTGTAGCCCACAATGTCCCATATCTTTCTCAGTCTGCAGCCAAAAGTGGGAAGGTGGTTGCTCGCAAAAAAAAACCGTAGTAAGCAAGATAATAATTATAATACTATACATCAACGGGAGAGACGTCGAACCATAAATATCAAAATGTTGAGGTTCTGCTAGACTAAGTACGACCTTTTTATTATTAATATAGCTCCCATCCTCCGTTCTTCTATGTTATCTGTATCTTCAATGGTTCTAAAAAGATCCATGTAGTAGCAGTTCGTATATAAGAAAAATGATACACCTACAATTAGTCCATCTATATACGATATGAAATTGTCCACATAAGTAATTCTTATTATTTCCCCTCCAATAAATTTTATAAACAAATGTTTATATACAGTGCACGTGTTAAGTATATTTCACATACCATTATAAGTATACTTTCTTGTATGTCCTTGACAAGTCCACTGTATTACATGGTAGGGCTAAAATTCTACCACTAATCAAGGCTTTGATGTGAAAATAGCAATACATTTGAGTTACAACACCTAAATAAAGCATGTAAACCTTAAATTTTTGTTGTTGTTTTTTCAGCTATGATTTAGTGTAATTTTGGTGCTGTTTCTTCCTCTCTTTAATTTACATGAAGGATATATAGTGGGGGGGGAGTAAAGATCATAAGAAAAAGATATATACATAAACACTTTTGATGTATGTGCATGTATACATATAAATATTAAAGTTTAGAAGTGCTGATATGGTTGAAAATATTACGTACGTATTAGCAACTCCTACAAGCATCATGTTTCCACTAAGTCAAGGTGGTTCAACCAGTTCAGTGTTGTACGGTAGTTCTTGTAAGTATATAAAAAAAACTTATAACTGCAATTTTAACTTTAATTGGTTTATATTAAAAAGTTAACTTGTGAAATGTACCACATATCATACGTACACCACTATTTAGTTTCTTGACACCCCAAAAATGAAAACATCAGTAAATATTCAGTCTTACATGCCTTTTATTAATGGGAATGATCTCTTCACCTCGATACAGCAGCTATCTATACTAACAAGATCATCTAGAATAAAAGTACTAAACTAATCACAGAAAGTGTGATAGGACTTCTGTACATAAAGTGATAAAGCTGTTATTTTCTCAACTTACTTGAAACACATTTTACTGGAAGTGCACTTGTCATAAGACGTTATGGTAGGCCTGTTACATTTTGAAAAACTACATTATTTATCAAGTCCTTTAGGGATATTCAAGAAGTAGAAGAATTTATAATAATATTATTCCAACCACACTATGTTCATCACATTCACTGGCAACAGTGCATTTTGCTCAATCCAGAGCTCATCAGGCCAACTGGGATGCAACAAACACAGTAGTGGTTGGAACACTTTTTATATGAGCCATTTGATACAACAAAAGTTATGGTGTATATCTAATTCTTGAAAATCCATAATGGACTAGACAAAGAATGTAGTGTTAAAAATTAATAGCTCTGATACTAATGTTTTATGAAAAATGTAATTCTAATAATTCTTTGCTAGCTTGTAAGAAGCATACACACCATAACATTTTACTAGAGCTTCAAATAAAAAAAAAACAATTGATAAAAATATTTAAAATTGAGAATTTTTGATTTGGAAAGAGGACTAAGTATTTAGCTTACACACACACACACACACACACACACA